CTTCCAACACAAACCAGGCTGGGATTCTTCCACAGGTGACAGATTCTCTTTCTCTCCCTGTGTTCCAGCACTATTGCCCTGTTCAGCCAGGCAGGTCTCTTCCCTGCACACAGGGACCACCCGCTCCTTCACCTTAAGGATTTCATTTCTGAAGAGCATCCAGCATTCCTGGACCCCTTTGTCCTTCAGTAATGCTTCCTCAGGGATTGTGCCAACCAGCATCCTAACCAGGCCACAGGCAGCCCTCGGGAAGTCTAAGGTGGAGGTTTTGCTGACCTTCCTCTGCCTTCTCCAAGGATGAACAACTCAACCACGTCAGGATCATGGTGCCACAGACGGCCTCCAGCCACCAGGTCACCCACCATTCCTCCTCCCCGAGCAGCAATCCAGGCAGGCAGCTCCCGAAGAGCTGCTGTGCTGAACTTCAGCTCCCTTTCAAGAGCAAGACTACAGCTGTGTGAGATGATGTCAGGTGCACTTCTGGGCATCCTTTCATAGGCTGACTCTGCAGCTGAAGCAAACAGCCACAGCTTCAGACTTACAAGCTTTTCCTCAAGTCTAGACCATTGAAATAAGCTCCTTTAGCACTGAAAAAGGAGCCAGAGAGCATTAAAGTGCTTGTGCTAAGGAATGCCTGTCAAGGGTTCATTGTGGGAACACTGTGACTCAAATCTGCTGTTCACAGCAGTTCCCTGTATGTAGTGTAGCAACAGAATAACATGGCTTTGTCACTATAAATGTTGCATCAGGGTTCAATGCCAACAAAGAATGGCATTCACACTCTGGTTCCCACACAGTGCTTCTTCCCAGCAGCTCACAGTGGGTGACACCGGGTGCTGCTCTGCTCCAGGAGGGCTGAGCAGCCACACAGGGGGACAGTGACAGTGGCAACGTCAGTGCTCACTTAACCCCATCCTTGCTTTGCTTCTGTGATACTGCTGAGAATGCCCAAGTTGAATAGTGCTGCAGATACTCACTGGTCTTAGGGTCCTTTCCAACCCTGACTATTCGATGATTCTATGAAACCAGGAGAAGGAGGATGTGCAACTGGAACACAGAACTGGCTGCAAGTGGAGGTGTTCCCATCTCTGCCAACGAGACTGTCACAGCTTCTGCACAGTCACAGAACCCCAGCCTGGTTCGGGCTGAAGGGACCTTAAAGCTCCTCCAGCTCCAGCCCCTGCCATGGACAGGGACACCTTCCACTAGAGCAGGTTGCTCCAAGCAGATGAATCAAGCTAGAACAGATGAACTCTAAGTTCATCAGATGAAATCTAAGGTCATCATCAATCCTTTTCCAACCAGTACTAAATCACTGCTTTCCTCCTTTCCTCCTTCATCCTTCATTAGAAACACTTTCATCAATGGAAAGAGGTTCCACACATGTGGGTAAAATACAGAAAGAGACAAAAACCAGACCAACAGCCCCCCTCTTCCCCTCCTGTGCCACAGCCCACAAGACACGAGCTGACCCAGTAGCCAGCTATGACACAGGTTTCACTCTCCTCCCCAGTGACAGCAGCACCAGAGGCTGCTCTCCAGGGAAGGTGGCTCTAGTCCATAAGAACAAGGCAGAGTGGAAGAGAAGGAGCCTCACCTCCGCAGCCTCTCCCTTGGGTGACAGGGTGCAGGTCAGTGTGTGCTCACCCATGCTGTATGGGTACTGCCTCAGGAAGCTGAACATTGACCTGGCTGACTTGGGACTATCCAGCTGCAGGATTGCCTAGAAGGAAAAGCAGCACAGGCTTCAGGTCACTGTTACATCAGCTATTCCTGCAGTGCAGCACAAGCCCAGTACAAGAGCTGGTACAGCATGTGATATCCAGTGCTCCTGAAGGGTTTCACCTCCTCCACTTGACACTCATTTGAAATGAGCAGCAGTTTTGGATGGAATCCCGTTCTGGATACAGACACCAGACTCCTCTTCCTGACTGGCTGAAGAGAGAACTCTCTCCATCTGGAATTATCTTTGGAACTAAACAAGGAACTCCATCACAAGCCAGTGAAGCCTGAAGCAACCCCAGTGAAGGGCAACCCCAGCAGAGATGAAGGTGTCATTGTCCCACTCTGCTCAGTGCTGGTCAGGTCACACTGGGAATACTGGGTTCAGGTTTGGTCCCTGCTGTACAAAAAAGATGTGGATGGGCTGGAGGGGTCCAAGGAAGGGCCACAAAGATGATCCAAGGACTGGGAAGCGAGTGGGGAAAGGCTGAGAGGGCTGAGAATGTCCAACTGGAGAAAAGGAGGCTCAGGGAGACCTTGTCACCATGTGCCAGTGTTTGAAGGGTGGCTACAAAGATGGAGACTCCCTTTGGACAAGGAATCCCACGGGAAAGCTGAGGAGTGATGGGCACAAGTTGCTCCTGGGGAGATTCCCACTGGACACAAGAGGAAAATCTTTCCGAATGAGGACAACCAGCCACTGGAATCATCTCCCCAGGGAAGTGGTGACTCCCCAGCGTTGGACACTGTTAAGACTGGGCTGCATAGGGTGCTCAAGGTAGTGTTGTGCCTGGAAAGGTTGGACCAGGGGATCCTAGAGGTCCCTACCAACCTGGGATTTTAGGATTTGCTTGTTCAGGATGAGTGGGAAACAGTCAGAGAGTTTGTCCTCTCAATGGCAGAACATTCTTGGCACTGGGAGGTGACAAAACCAAGTGGGTTTTCCCCTAACGTGGTACTTTACCTTGTTCTTGTTCTTCAGCACAACATAATGATCCACTTTTCCAAAGCGAAGTCCCACACAAACGACTTCGAGCTCTCTGTACCCATCATCTGGCAAGTTCCCCAGATGCACAAACTGGCTGTGAACAGTTTCAGTATTTACCTGAAGAGGAGCAATGACAAAACTTACTTTAACTTTCTGCCAGCATCAAACTAGGTCAGAAAAGCCCCACAGGAAATGTCCTCATCACTCACATCTTACGGAAGGAGCACTCACACCAATCAAACATTCCCCTTTCCACACTGACACCAGATTCAAGGTCCCTTCCAAGCCAAACCATTCTGGTTCTATCATTTTCCATTTCCTCAGCTGCAGGTCAACAGAACCAGCCGCGCTCCCGGGGAATGAAGAGCAAACTTGGAAGGATCCAGTTGTTTTATTGTAAAGGAACACCGCAAGAGCAGAGAGTCACAGAATCCCAGCCTGGTTTGGGTGGAAGGGACCTTAAAGCTCCTCCAGCTCCAACCCCTGCCCCGGGCAGGGACACCTTCCACTAGAGCAGGTTGCTCCAAGCCCCTGTGTCCAACCTGGCCTTGAACACTGCCAGGGATGGGGCAGCCACAGCTTCTCTGGGCACCCTGTGCCAGCGCCTCAGCACCCTCACAGGGAAGAGCTTCTGCACAAGAGCTCATCTCGGTCTCCCCTCTGGCAGGTTCAAGCCATTCCCTTGGCCTGTCCCTCCATCCCTTGTCCAAAGCCCCTCTCCAGGTTTCTTGTCAGCCCTTAGTGGACGGGCAGGGCAGGAGCGGAGGGCCAAGAAGGGAGACACACTCCACTGAACAAAGCACAGAGGTGGTTTTGATCCTTAAACCATAATACCTGGCTAGAAAACACACAGGGAGAATGGGTGGTGTTACAAACAGGCCAACACTGGGCATTGGCCGAGTTGCAGGTGCTATCAGAGCATGAAAGTACCCTAACAGAAGGAGATGGTCTCCCAGGACTCGTGTTAATGTTTAATTCCTTGGGCTTTACGCATCATGGAGTTAAACTAAGTGAACATTTACTCCTCCTAGTCCCTGCCCATCCACCCATGAAAACACAGAGCAGCATTTAATTCAAGAGAAAGCTGAGATAATAGTTCAGCATGAAGGACAGGAATGCTCATGTAAAACCAAGTATTTGGCTAGCAGGAGGAGTCAGACCTACCTTCGGGTCAGAGTCTTTAATGAGAGCAGTGAATAGTGCTTCCTGCAACAGAAAAGAGCAAAGAAAGAGACATGGTAAGATGGGAACTGTAAAATACAGCTTCAGCAGCAGCAAACCACCAGCCACTGCCTCCCACCAACTTCCTTAACAAAACCAAGTGCATCAGCACTTCTGACATCTGTGTTCTTCCTGTGTCAGAAAGGCAGGACCCAAGGAGCCAGTTACCAGCATCGCTCTTCAACACGAGACACCAGCAGAACGCATCAAGCAGTGTATAAAAGTCAGCTCCAACACAAAATCCTACTCCTTACCCAAATGCTATCCCAGCTCCGGGAATTTCAGTCCATTTGCTCACTTACTTCATCTTTGACACTCTGGTACTGCGGCAGCATGCTGATGCAGAGCTGGTTTCCATCCAGAGACATGGGAAAGCAGGTGTAAAACTTGACCATGGAATCGGCACATTTTCTACTGATTTCAAGATATGCCTTTTGAAACAGAGAAATGGCCATTATCAAACACTTCAACCTCACACTGGTGCTTCCTGAGCTACAGCAGCACATCTGTGTGTGCCAGAAGCACAACCACTGCTTCTTTAGGTGGAATTAATACTAAATACCACTTAAAATACCTTCTTATGAGATGACAAGATCAGCACATCCCTCAGTCCCCCAAACGGCTTTGCGAGGTTGGAAACTTCCTCCACAGAAAAGCCTTTCTCAGGCAGGTTTGAAATAAGGATCACGCAGGAATCATCCCCCTCCTGTCACAAAAGACAGTGAATGTTACTGCTCTTCCTTCACTCTACATCAAACCTGCTGCAGTTCTGAAGAGTGCTGGGTTTTACTGTCTAAACCCACTGCACTTGGGGCTCCACACTTGGACCAGGAGTTTAATAGTAACTAAATGTAACCTGATAATGGCAAGAAAACGAGGAATAGAGCATGGACAGAGAAACATCCAGTATAATCACCCCTGTTTCATCCCAGGCAGTTCATCTGGATGGGGCTTGGAGCAACTGCTCTAGTGGAAGGTGTCTCTGCCTGTGGCGGGGGTTGGAGCTGGAGGAGCCTTAAGGTCCCTTCCAACCCAAACCATTCCATGAGTCTATGATTCACTTTAACTGTGGATGTATCTACACCTTAGGGAATTCTGCATGTACGTCAGGCTCCCTCCTTCAAACTAAACACCTATAACTACGCCACCACTTTATATCGTGACAAACCCGCACATCAGACACTGCAGGAGTGGATGTGCAAAGGCTGTGTCCAAAGAGAAGGAACCTGCAGCAGGACAGTGCCAAAGCTGAGAGCACAAAGGAGCTTTGGGATCCCTACCAACGGCCACAGAGTGAGATGGTGGTTGTCCGTGCAGCCACGACCAGCAGGGGGAAAACAAAGCCACTATTCCTCAAAGAGCTTCACAGGCTGGGATGTAAATGGGAGGTTTTCGTGCAGCACATGGGAATGTGCCATTCCCGCTGTCCTTGCAGCTTCCAGACTCACCTTTACACTGACCTGGCCTTCTGGGTCTGTGGGTTCTTCACTCTTTACTGTCATTATGGTGACTTCTAGAATACAAGGGGTCGAACAGTTCAGTACCTGAGGTTTCCTGACACCTACAGAGCTTTGAGAGCTTCTCTCATTACATTTGAGCACCACTGCTGTTGTGAAAGGTGAACTATTCCTTCATGGAACTTACAGTGACAAACGACAAGGACAGTGTGAGGTAAATGCTTTCAGGAAGAACAGCTTTAAGTGGGGATATAAAATGAATTACTATCCCTGGATTAGCACACACACACTCTGCTGGCATTGAGACCTTATCAGTTCACAACTGAGACCTCAGAGCAGCTCCAGTGCCTAAAGGGGCTCCAGGAAACCTGGAGAGGGGCTTTGGACAAGGGATGGAGGGACAGGACAAGGGGAATGGCTTGAACCTGCCAGAGGGGACACTGAGATGAGCTCTGAGGCAGAAGCTCTTCCCTGTGAGGGTGCTGAGGCGCTGGCACAGGGTGCCCAGAGAAGCTGTGGCTGCCCCATCCCTGGCAGTGTTCAAGGCCAGGTTGGACACAGGGGCTTGGAGCAACCTGCTCTAGTGGAAGGTGTCCCTGCCCGTGGCAGGGGTTGGAGCTGGAGGAGCTTTTAGGTCCCTTCACCCCAAACCAGGCTGGGATCCTGTGAAACAGAATAACATCAATCATATGGGATAGGAAGCACAGTGAAAGTAGAATCACTTTCACTGTAAAATGTTTGTCTCTCTCTCTGACAGGTTCAGAAACTACAGCCTTGCCCAACCTCCACTATCACACAGTAAGTGAGAGCTAACACACACTCATGCTATGTACAAAGCAAAGTATGCTATGGATCAGTTACAAAACATGAGGAAAACAGCATCTATGGAACCAGCTCCAGGTGGCAACAGGCAGCAATGAGAACAAAAGCAGCAGTGGGGGAGCTGCAAACAGGACCTCCAGAAAGCCTGAACCCTTTGGCTCTGATGAGCTGTAAATGGAAGTCCCCACGTTACACTGAAAAGCTCAAGGTGAAAACATGATGTCTGCTGAAAGATGAAAGCCACCTCAGCCATCACAGAAGCTCCTGGTTCATGGGCCAGGCAGTGAACCTTCACAAATAGATGTTTCCTGACACCCTGTGTCATTTGAGTTTCCTGCCCTCAGAAGCATTCTCATTTCATTCACAAGCCCTAAAGGGAGTTCTAGGACAGACTAAAACCCTGTCCATGTGCAACTTACCTTGGCCAATTAAAGCTTTATTTAACTCATTCAAGTCCACTGCTGCCACCTGAGGCATCTGGGAGACTGTCTCTATGAAATAAATGAAGACATCACCATGTGAAACTTCACAGCCCTTACACCAAGCAGAGTAAGTCAAACCCAGCATATCAGCTCAGAGTTACCTAGCACAGCTGCAGGATTAGTGGCTCCTTTGGCCTGAGTCTCTGCTGCCTTCCCAGCCTCTGGATCTTTGTCCCCTTCTGTGATGTTCTTTGGCTCTGACAGCTTTGCCTCCTCAGCTTCTGTTTCAGCTTCCACTGGGATCTGAACATCTTCATCTGGAGATGTGGCTGGTGGGTAACAGCAGGAAGAAGCATCAGAAAGATGCTCTTCCCTGTTTAACATCTCTTGTGGCCAGTACAGTGAAAGGTGCAGGAAGCTCAGGCTACAACCTCAAATAGCTGCTCTGGAAAGGGGGGCCAGGGATAGGGAGTTGGAAAAGCACCAGCCCATGGTTTCCTAACAAAGAGGAGGAGTTCCCATTTCTCTTACCTGCAGTGTTTGAAGTTTTCTTGATTTTACTCTCTCCTGTCAATGCTGATTTCTTAGTCTTGTCTTTTTTACCTACATAAAATAACCAAGTGCAAGAAGAAATGCTTGTTATGGAATTACTTACAAAGAATAGAAAAATACACACGAAACCAGTTTAAACTGCAGCAACTCAACTGGTATTTTTACAACTGACTTTGGACAAGGGATGGAGGCACAGGACAAGGGGAATGGCTTGAACCTGCCAGAGGGGAGGTTGAGATGAGCTCTTGGGCAGAAGCTCTTCCCTGTGAGGGTGCTGAGGTGCTGGCACAGGGTGCCCAGAGAAGCTGTGGCTGCCCCATCCCTGGCAGTGTTCAAGGCCAGGTTGGACACAGGGGCTTGGAGCAACCTGCTCTAGTGGAAGGTGTCCCTGCCCGGGGCAGGGGTTGGAGCTGGAGGAGCTTTAAGGTCCCTTCACCCCAAACCAGTCTTCCAAATGCTGAAAAGCATTTGGAACGTACCAGGCACAGAAGACTCTGGGGAGCACTGCACTGACTGTGGGAGAGGGTGCTCAATATACTGACGTCAGCTTGAGGAATTACTTATTTCTGGAGCCCTCGTTGCCACAGTCATCTCCCAGTGGATGGGGCAGACAGAAAACTAGAGTATAAGCTGAGGGCAAGGTGAGGTTTTATTGCTTCTAGAGGGTTGGGGTTTGTGGTGCTTTATAAAGAGAGGACAACGAGGTGGAATGAAAACAATATTTGAAAGTATGAACCAGGCATTTTCCAGCAGCTTCTAGACTTGAAGTCCAGTCCCTGTGATGAAAACACTCCCATGAAAGAAATGGGAATAGAGAGGAAAGGGAGTAACAGAGGTATCACCAGATGGAAGGTAACCACAGCCTCACCTGCAATGAACTTCTTTGTGGTGGCATTCAGATCTTTCCTATTTTAAGGGGAGAAAGGAAATAAAAATCAGTTTTAAAGGTCAGCAGTGAATATTGAAAGAGCTGAAACAGCTCAAAACCAGTAAAACCCAAGATACCAAACCAGGAGAACCCCATTTGGTTCTCAGTTGTTATCACTAACACTGATGTGAGTAACAGCAACACTTACCTCGTGCCTGGTGCAGCCTTTTTAACATTCTGAGCCCGTTTCTTTATAGCCTTTTTGGCCTGGAAGGGAAAGAAAGAACTTTTAGTGCATCATTTACATAGTATATATAAATGTGCATATATATACATATATAAAATATATACATACATAAAGTATATACATATATTAAAGACATAAGAGTATTAATAGCTATTAATACTAATTAAGTATATACATTAGTATAGGTTGCATCTTTCCCTGTTTCTTAAATGGGTACTATTCACAAACACAAAACATAACTAAGAAAAATGGAAATCTGGAGGTTTAGGAAGTGCTTCTGCACAATAATTCAGCCTGTTCTTTATGACAATGATATCAAGAACATATTAAAAGCACTAAATCTATTCTCCTGGAGTCCCTCAGGTGATGGAGCAACAACCAAGCTCCTCCCAGTGCGCTGGTGTGTGCCCATGAACATCACCTGCCCCGGGGGAGCTCTGGGTTTCTCTGCTATGCTGATCTTCACCCTCTTGCCATTCACCAGCACTGGCACCGTTTCACCGTACTTCACCGCTGCGATCACGGCTTCTTTGTAGTTCATCTCCAGGAAGGCCTGAAATCAACGGATAAATCAGTCCTTATCCTACAGACACAAGATATAATTCACTGCAGGTTCTCCTTAGACAAATCTGCTCATGACAGAACTGCTCATTCATCTCCAAGTGAGTTTCCAGGGACTTTGATGAAGTTCAATTTCTGTCTCATAGAATCATGTAGGTTGGAAAAGACCCTTAATATTGTCGTGGCTCAAGCCCAGCCGGCAACTTGGAACCACGCAGCCACTCGCTCACTCCCCCCCGCTCCTTCCTCCCCCCGCTCCCGGAGGGATGGGGAGGAGAATGGGAGGAATGTAACTCCCACGGGTTGAGATAACAGCTCTCCAGTAACTAAGGTATAACACAAACCACTACTGCTACCAGTAATAATGATAAGG